CCCCAAAACCCCAAAACCCCAAAACCCCAAACTCTCCAATTTAAGTTGAATATATTTTACACAAAATGTCCAAGATGATAAACAGAAGATGATTCTCTCCTGATGTGAAACCCATTCCTTCCAAGAGTAACCTCTGGAGCCAAATAAGTAAGCTTAAAATCTCCTTATCAGGGTGTATAATATCTCCACATAATCTCATGGCCATATTCAAATCTTACTGGAAGCCCTGGGCCAAGACTCTTACTAACCTCATGTTTAGAGAATACATTAGTGGAAAGGTGTACTAAAGGGGATAATAAATGTAAGCATCTCTGTGGACCAAAAATTTTTGATTTCGATAAAGTGTCTAAAATTTACCAAATTTCAGGGTTTTCATACATTATGAGTAAACCATACTATAACAACAAATTTTGGATTTGACATAGTGATATAGACTTTCTTAATAAAATCAGACTTGAACTCGCTAGGAAAAGCATGATCAGGAATGGCAAGGATAGCTACATGGACTTCACAAAGGAGTCTGTTTCTTATAATGGGCTTAAGACCTCAGACTCAGATATGGGTAGCAACGAGTTCATCAATAATCTGAATTACATTCAATGCATCCGGAGCTGTAAGAAGAAGATTAAGCGAAGATTACTGAAGATGGGCAACTCTAGAAAGCACTGCCTCAACCGTCATGAAGACTTTAGAGGATATATTTTTGATAAATTTATCATACCTGCTAAAGAGAAGATCGACTGTTTGGAAATAAATGCTTACCTCTTGCTTATAAATGACAGGGAATATTACAAATCTATCAGATGTATGGACTCGCCTAATAAGAAATCTATTCGGAAGAACCATAGGCTTCGGTGAACCATCAAAAGTGAAGACCTGAAGTCAGTGTTTTATCGAGATCCAAAGGATATGGATAATGAGAGTAAGTATCAGTGTAAATTATACCTGTAGAAGTCCAACTAAAGGAGTTTAAATAAGATAATGAGCAACAAAGAGTATAAACTGAAGCTTATGAAACGAGGGGAAACTAATCCCTTCCTACCAAATTTCAGCCAATTTGAAGGTAAAATAGAGCTCCTTGGACCTTAAGCTAGGAAGAATGAGGAAGCTCAGAATGATCTCAGCTGAGTTTCTTTATGCAAGATTTGGCACAATTTTACATATAATAATTTGCTAATTGTTACAAAATATAACAATGTCTCAGTTTTTGGTGTATAGAGGAGGCAAACTCTCATTGATCAAAAAAACCTCATCTTCTGGAAAATATAAGAGCCGTGCAGACTTTTTATACCAAAGGTAATTTTACCCTCTTCCAAAATGTTAATCAAATTTCTAAAATAGCACCAAGATTTTCAAGCTCCATAATGATTAATGAGGATCTTGCGAAACAAAAATACTCAGATCTCCCAATGCAAAGTATCCAAGAGGCTCAGCCTCAGAAAAAGAGGAGGAATAAACGCCATGAGTACAAGAAGAGTCGACATTTCAAGTCTTGCAACGATCAAGCTAGCAAGCCTATTTCCCCATCTATTTTCTTCGTTGTTTCCAAAAGTAAAAAGCTATCAAAGAAGAAACAATTGTGAAATAATAAGAAGTCTACTTCAATAAAGAAGGTCAACCTTACTGATGTTTTTAAGACAGTCATGGCTAGAAAGAATGGGCTGAACGATATCAATTCTTTAAAAATAGATACAAAGAACCTTCACTCTCGAGGTCTTTGTTCTCCCAAAATTACAGAATACACCATTGATGGGCGGCCAAGCATGCTTCTTAGCCCATCTACCATGATGAAGAACCGGAGAAGGATCAAGAGTCCAGACCAAAGGATTAAGTTAAAAATTGAAGAAGAGAGATCATTCACGGCTAAAGGCTGCAAACGGGTTAAAAGAGTTGAGAATATAAGATCGTTAAACAAGGAACCGGATGTCGCTAACTTCTCTGAAAAGGAGCTATATACCCAATTTGTTCCCAGAGGTAACAGGAAGTCGATGACTTAAGAAATATTTCTTATAATTCGTAGTGAATAATCTCCTCGCTCTTTGTATACTATTTAGACCTTTTGATACAAACCAAAAGATAAATTACTAGCTGATGATTTTTTATGGGGATCTTCCCAGATGCTGACATTTCTATATCAAGATATAATAAGGGGTTTTGGGGTTTTGGGGTTTTGGGGTTTTGGGG